TTACTAATCAAATAATCATCATTGCAATTTCCGGATGGCCTAAGACTATTATACTAATTTATACTTAGTATTATTGTAACAAGGAGGGGTAAACAGATTTTTAACGCACTATTATTGTGATCCTTTTCGCCGCATGGAAATTCCTTTTCTTGGGCGATTCTGCATGCATATACATTTGTCTTATTCTCTTGCTTTATAATGAACGTTTAGTTTAAAAATATTTATTTTCAAACGATCATACTGTCTCCCCCTTTAAGTAGAGTGGAACATTAAGATAACCATCTTGTTGTCCTAGAAAATCACACATCAAATGTGCGTCCTTAAATTTTCAAGGCCGTACACTATTTAAGTTTGAACACTTAAATTTACATAGTTGATATTCAAAAATCTAATTGCGTTACAAAACCTTCATTTCTTTTTAATTTTTTTTTTTTATACAAAACAAAATTGAAATTTGCTTTTTTCTAATATAGCAGGAATTCAAGTGTTTACGGATTCAAAAAGGTTATAAGTTATCCTGTGAAAGAAAATGTTTTTCAACGATCCCTCAAACTGCTGTTGAACGCCATATTTTAATTTTCGTCATGCGATTATACATTATTTTCTAGGCCAAAACCGGGTCTGCTTTGTGAAATTTAAGGACAAAACCGGGTCGTAAACATTGACAAAACCGGGTGCTTCAATTTTGACATGACCCACTTCTTTCATTCCATGCACAAACATGCAAATATTGAGGCGATCATAGTGAAAAGTCTTGAAATCTCCGTGTTAATATCTTTCTTTCCGTACCATTCTTTTCGTACAATGTGCCCAATTTAAAGAGAAATTAAACAAATTCGAGGCAGGGTTCACTCAATTCAACATTTTGATGTGCCCTTTTACTTATTTCTCCATAAATCTAGAACGGTTGTAGAAAATATTACATCACACTATCGAAAATAGTTATATGTGTATGTATATTCTTCAATATCATTAAAACAACATATAAATAAACAGAATTTCTACATTTCTCTGTCTCTTGATTGTCCGTCACCGTACCGGACATTAGATACTATTGAGTCCAAACATTTTTCGCCGGGGTAGTTTAGATACAGTGAACTGGTAGCCGAGAGGTTTCGTCGATGTTTCTTTTTTTTTTGTATTAACAACGCATAATAGACTTAAAGTTTGAAAAGGGGTTCGAATCCCAGTGACGGCAAATTTTAAATGAAAATAATATATAAATTTTACACTAATATCATTTGTGAATTGAGATCAGTAAATTATTCATGCATAACGTTTAGATATGAGTTAATCATTATTAGATAATGCATCATAAAAAAAAAGGTATAGCAGGAATTGATGAATTAAAAAAGCACAGTACAACAAGAAAAATCAACCATAAACTCTTTACGTTTTTGAAATTATTGTTTGTGTATCTTTACCCCTTTTGGACATATATAAATAAGAAGAAGTGGTATGAATGCCAATGAGACAACTCTCCATCCAAGTCACAATGTATAAATAGTAAATAATTATAGGTTAAAGTACGGCCTTCAACACGGAGCCTTGGCTCACACCGAACAGCAAGCTATACAGGGCCCCAAAATGACTAGTGTAAAACAATTCAAACTGGAAAACCAACGGTCTAATCTATATAAAAAAAAACGAGAAACGAGAAACACTTATGAACCACACCAACAAACGACAACTACTGATCAACACGCTTCTGACTTAGGACAGGTGCATAAAAATGCAGCGGGTTTAAACGTTTTAACAGGCGCCAACAGTCACCCTAAGCTGCGACAGTAATGTAAAATTACAACATAAGAAGACACAATATGCATGTATACCCTTCGAATTAAGTTTTGCACAGACTTCATAAGAGATGTATTTTTTCAATAAGGCTGTAAATTTGTTCATTAGAATTAAAATCTAATTATCAAACAAGTTAATGTTATAAACACTGAAGGAATCCAAACTCAGAAAAAATGTCACAATCAGAAAAAGGACACACTCGAAGGAAGGGAGAACTATAACAGTTGCCGTTTGAACCTCAGGTTTGAACACGATAATTTGTTACTAATATTATTGATGTAAATAACATTTCCGAAAGAGTATATCAGTATTGAACCGAAAAGTTGATAACATTTTTTTCTCTTTTTATTATAACAATTCTTCCTGTACTATTTAACACCTTTCTTTCAATTTTATTTTTCACCTTATCAGTACAACATAGTTTTGTAAATCATTTTCTGCATTGTTAAACATATAGGACATCTAGGTGAACTTTTCCATGTTTGCTTGAGTACTACATGTATGAAAAAAATTACACTAGTACTTGACATGGATTGTTTTACCAAATTGACACATAACAAGGCAGCTGTAGTTTTGAAATTTCTAGTATAAAACTGACCGAGTAAGGCTTGCCGTCATATTCATGAGTTTTTGAAACTTTTAACTACTTGAAACGATTTTATAGAGACGAAGATGAAGTTTGCGACTTTGTTTTGGTGTTTGATCCTGTCAGTATGCGTAGAAGAGTCATTCTCATCCGATTACATCCATAACGACCATGTAAACTCATGTGGTAGGTCTATTTTGTATTATTGTAACTGTTGCTATAGTTATAGTTGATGTGTTTCTCTCGGTTTTTGTTTGTAACCCGAATTTGTTTTCTCTTAATCGATTTATGACTTTTGAACAGCGGTATACTACTTTTGCCTTTATTTACCACAATTACTGTTCAGAATATTTCCCTTACATTTTCAATACAATTGTAACGTGATGACATCACGAAATGAATGACATTACTTGCATTCGTATCACGAAAAAACAAATTGTAAGTCATATTCACCAACAACAAGTTAAAAACTTATGTTCAAATAAAACAGCTCAGGATCTGGAGGCATCACATAAAACAATATCAATTTTCATCCAATTTTCTTAATGTAAAGACCGTTATTATGCCAAAGGCGGTTAACTTGTACCAATCGGAATATCCATCTAAAAGTTTTGAAACTAATTGATGCCGACACCTAATACCTATCTGCCTTGAACGACAGATTATTTTTTTAAGTGGTTGTCCCAAGATTAACAATGATCATAGGCATTCATATTATCCTCATCTCCTGTTGGATTGATATATTTTATATATTGTATAAGCATTCATTTATTTAGATGAGAACATAATAGACACTCTTTTCAGTAAAATTGGAATGCCTGGTCCTCATAATATAGTTTGTAAAAAGAAGAAAGGGAATATAAATTTGTTTTTCCTAATTTTAACATAGACCTTTTGTTTAAATAATTTTGCGAAATATGCAAACATAAGCCTGTATATATTGATATCGGTAATATTACCGTCCGATAATGGCGGTTCATTTTGAAGTCTAAAAGTAATAATCTCCTTCGTTTTCGCACGAACATACAGGATTTTTCGCTTTAATTGTCAGCAAATTTTCAATGTTTGTTTGAAGGTATTGTATTGGTTAACCTATGCAACGGCAAACATGAAACGTTTATTTTAGATACAAATGAAAATATGGTTATGGCTAAAATGAAATACTTGCGCAAATGCACTATTAATTGAGATTATACTCAATGTTAACCTGCTAACCACATCGGTGAACTTGTTGCAGCGTAGTCGTATCGAGTGAGGGAGGTTGTTGGTTCGATCTCCAGCTGGATCAAACCGATATTTTCAAATTGAGAGTAACTACTTTTCGGCAAATAACACGACATTATGGAGAAAGAGCAAACATTGGTTGGCTTGACCTAAGAATAAGAAATGTATCTGGATTACTCCTCGATGACTCCTACCTTGTGAAAAGTAAAAATTTTCTCATGATGACTGTCTAGTATAAAATAGAATATGTTTATATCTTACCAATATCTAATCTCCAGGAATATACATGTAATATTTGCCTCTAGACGATGAACAGATCCCATTTACTTTCTTTTCTTTATGATAAAGTATGAAATAATTTGATATCAAAGTTTGCAAAGGATATATAATCTATTTTTTTAAATTTTCTGCATAATTTAATACCACAGGAATTTGTGACGGAAAGTACAAATACAACAGCACATGATGCCACATAAACAGATATATTTACAAATATGTTGGAAATGGCATATTTTCGCGGGATTTCGCTTTTTGCTGTTTTTCTACAGAAGGATTTAGATAATTTGAAATATTCCACAAAATTATAATTAATGATCGACACAGGAAGTATGTCCAATTTTCGTATGGATCTGAAAGTGTTATGTTCTCTGTTGTGCACTGTGGTACTTGAAAGCTGTTATTATTCTAATGTATTGTCGGTCTACTTTGTGCAAACGTCGAAACAGTGACGACATCGCTTTACTGAACTTACAGAGACGGTGCCACTGTTTCGGAGTTTGTGCTTTGTGGTGTCAATCTGCGTAATAATGAGTGCATTTCTTTCGTACACAAACGATGCAAACGACTCAGCGCGTATATGTTTTGATCATTTGTTTCTAACATACGTTTGCAAAGTTTACATAAACTTTGACAAACTATGCACTCGCTAAAAATGCGTCTACAGTTTGCCGTTCATCGTTTGTTAGTACAAACGCTACATTTGTTTCTAACTTCAATCTTGAATTTTAGTAAAACATTGGAACAATCTGCAAAACGACAAACACTGCAGTGAAATCTTCACCCTAGTGCCTATTATATCGTATAAACGTAACAAAAATATAAAAGAATAACTTGCTAAATCAAGACAATAGGACCCATGCTTTAACAGTATAAGCAAAAAATCCAGAAACACTGTTAGAAATAATCTTAATTATAGGCAACAAACTTTCATATGAAATAGAGAAAACGGTGTAAAGTCTTGAGATTTATAATTATTTTGGTTGAATGAACAGCATTTAATTATTACCGCGTAATAAGTCTGTTTACCAACAACATGTGCATGCATTATTGAAAGTTCAAACACTGATTAAACGATGTATTTGTTTCTACTTTTGTAGCGTTTAGCAAACGATAACAAACGCCACACAACGTTTACAAAAAATAGGTTAGAAAGAAATGCACTCAATGATACATGGTTTTTCATTGTTTCATATATGATGGTAAGTATGCAATTATTTCTTTTGTATGAGAATGTCAGTGACCTTTGAAGTATTTTTGTATTTATTAGTGACATAAGTTGCCTTTCTCGAGACTCTTTGAATAATGACTTTTTCATTTTGTAAGTATTGATCCTATTATTTAGATTTGTCTTCTAGCATGTGGACTAGAGAAAGATGAAGGATATTGCTGTAATAAACATTGTTATACAAAGGGAAGCTTCTTCTACTACGACTCCAAGTTAGGGAAATGTCGACCATTAGCATACCAAGGTTGTGGCGGTAATATAAATAAATTTTACAGCATGAAGGAATGCAAGCAAGCCTGTAAAAGTAGGTTATCAAAAATAGAAATTAAAATTTGTAGTTGTAGTTGTTCAAATACATATGGCAATTTAATCTTCGAATGTGATATTTTGACCAATTTGCATTATCGAATATATTTTTTTTTCAAATGTTTCAACTTTATTCAGCATGCTTTGCTTGAAATTGTTTGATTAGAAAATAACCGAAAGAAATATGGCATTAAAAGTTATGTATAAAATGACTACTGATCATCCCGATTTTCTGCAGAAATGATTGTTTTCAATTTGACTGTTTAATCTCGGTACTTCATTCATCTTTACTTTCAGTTCGTGAAATGTTTATTTTAATTTGCGCATAAATAGTTTAATTTTTTTTATTTCAACGTTGTTGTGGTTATTGAGATAACATTTTGTTTTGCTAAAATGCCGTACAGATGGAACAATGTTGTTTTCGGAATTTTTGATCTCAAGTGTTAAAAAAAGGATTGTTTACCCAGGAATAGATTACCTTCGCTGTTTTTAGCTAAACCTTTCGAAATTGTTGGGTCCTCCACACTCTTCAACTTCGTACTTGATTTGACCTTTTTTATCTTTTTCTATTCATGCGCCACTGATAAGTTTTTGTAGACCTGGTATAAGCCTGGTATCTTTGATGAGAGAGGCGAAAGATACCAAAGGAACATTCAAACAGAGTCTCATAAGCGAAAATAAACTTTCAACGCCAATGCAAAATCGAAACAGACCAAAATCCAAACAACATTATACAAAACACATCATGGAAAACTAAAGACTGAGTTACACGAACACCACCAAAAACTAGGGGATGATCTCAGATGTTCCGGAAGGGTATGCAGATCCTCTCCACATGTAAAACCCGTCGTGTGCTCTTGTAAGTACAAACCTGGTCTAAATCTAATTCGGTAGGTCACATTCGGGGCAAAGAGGTTGGGATGAGTTTCTTGTAACAGTTCTTTCAACTAAAGGTGAGGTTGGTTCGTTCATATAAAAAGAAAAACAAATATATGTAACTATGATAGGACACGATATCTAGCAAAATAATATCCGAAAAATGCCAATGTAAAGAATACATCTAAGTATCGCAAAACAGTTTAGTGATTTGATATTATATTGAAATTTCTTGATTACCTATCATTCTTTTGGGGACAATTTTCTAGGTAGTCACTGATATCGTTTTTGCTGGGATTTTTAATTTGTGTGTTTTCATTGCTATAGCGCTTGAATTATTTGTACATGGACCTGGAACAAATGATTCAAAGTAAATCTATATCAGACAGGCACGTATTTGGCTCATCTGTTTACTTTTATATAGTTCTCAAAAGGTTTTCATAATTTTCAGATCTTAAAATTTTTAAATCGAAAGTTAGTAAGATACTTTGGACAGAAAAGAAATCACCCTGCCCTTTCGTTTTATAATACGATTTAAACGGCGACCACGTGTCAAACCTATTTTGACATATAAAATATGTTGACTAGCTTACATATGTGGTTTCAAGCTCTTAATCTGTAGACACTATATCAATAAATTTTAAATAGATTACAAAAGATCTGCAACCAACAATAACAATAACAAATAGAAGGTTCCTAAACTTTTTTTGTCAATTGATTTCAGAGGGATATGGTAATAAATGTGAGATATGTCCACCATCTACATACGTATACGCTTCCTATTGTGGTTGCTATAAAAAGGGTTATTGTAATTGTAAACCTGGATATTATTGCTGTCCAGTCACATGCGGTAGACCAGACAATAAACCTTTTAAAGGATACTCATGCAGAAAGCCAATACAAGGTACGTTTTAAATGAAAGCACGACAATTTTGAACATAAGGTTTCTTTACTTAGGACTAAAAAAAGATCTGTCATCTACATCAAACCCTATTTTTTCCATTTTTTTTAAATGGTGATTGATTGATTGTTGGTGTTTAAAGCAACAATCAGCACTATTGGCTATATTGTGGCTGCCAGTTTTCATTAATGGAGGAAGCCAACTGCCAGGAGAGAACCACCGGCAAACGACATAAAAACTGGCAATCCTTAAGAAATAAGAATGGAGTCGAACCCTTTATATTAATGGAGGAAGCCGGAATGCTCGGAGTGAACCACCGACCATCGATAGGAAAACTCGCAATCCTTGTGAAATAAGAATGAAGTCGAACCGGCCACGTGCAGGGTTCAAACTAAACCTCTTTTTTTAATCTTGAAGCTAAAGGCTTCAGATAGCAGCCTGAAATAAAAACGTTAAAAATAAATACTTGTTGCTATTAAAAACAAATTAAATGAAATTGGAAAAAAAAACAATTGATACTTGAAACTATTAATATAAGACCATGTCCGTCAACCAGATGCAAATCTCATATCGCGCGTGTGGTCTATGAAAATATAAGCCTGGATATATTTGATGAGCTTTTTTTTTTAGAACTACAATAGTTATAATACTAAAATGTTCCTTGAACTATTTAACTGATATTTTAGTAACAAAAAATGCATAATTAGATAGAAGCGCTTCTCTGTACGGGGAAGCATAACGTCACATACGCGTTTGTCATAGTAAATCAGAATCCAGGTTTTCGATATATAACAACGTTTAACTGATAATAAAGTGAAAAAAAACTCCTGATAAAAGAAGAGGCGAAAGATACCAAAGGGACATTCAACCTCATATGTCGAAATAAACTGACAACGCCATGGCTAAAAAAGAAACAGACAAACAGACAAATAATGTTGTAATAAGATCTTTGAATATTGTTTTCATTGGCACTAACATCGATTTTGTCATCAACAAATTAAAACATAACTAAATTTGTATTCTTTTCGAAAATACACATCCACGTTTATTTTCTATTTAGAAATTGTTTTATCTATATATAACCTCATAAATATTTATTATAAGATTAAATCCTAACTATCATTCTGCCCGTCGTTACTTTTATTTTGGCATTGCATAAGTCATGTCTTCTTTGACTGTCCATGGCGTTAAAACACTAACATCCTGCCTGGGATGTGTTTAAATTGATTTTAGTCTCTGATGCATGATTTTTTATAATTAATTGTTTTTGGCTTTTAACTAGCTTTCAGTAACTGCGAGTACTCTCAAATCGTACTTCCGCATTAATTTGACACAATTTGTAATGCATTTCTGTTATTGAATGTTTACTTATTTTGTGTTATATCTCGTCTTACTATTTTTAATATGTACCACCTTTGATAAGTATTTAGTATGACGATAAATTTTCACTTCTGCACTCGTACTATGAACAACAAATTTATTTTGTAAAAAATGTTTCGGTACCCTTATATTTAAATTTACCTGTGTACGTTACTTTATTTAACGCCATTTTCTCCTACGTTAAAATTGTCTTTTTTGACATTGATACATCTTTTTTATTTATATTGTGTTATAGATCAAACTTATTCGTTCAGTGTATATTTACTTGTTTTTGTGAATGTCTTTTTGGTCGAGTTAAGCCATTTCAATTGATATTTTATTGTGTGTCTTTTTATGTTGTAATATTACACCACTGTTCCAGGTTAGGATGAAGGTTGGCGCCTGTTAAAACGTTTAAACCTGCTACATTTTTATGCACCTGTCTTAAATCATGAGACTATTGTTCAGTGGTTGTCGTTTGTTGGTGTGGTTCATAAGTGCTTCTCGTTTCTCGTTTTTATATATATTAGACCGTTGGTTTTCCTGTTTGAATTGTTTTACACAAGTCATTTTGGGGCCCTTTATACTTGCTGTTCGGTGTGAGCCAAGGCTCCGTGTTGAAGGCCGTACTTTGACCTATAATTGTTTACTTTTTACACAATGTGATTTGGATGGATAGTTGTCTCATTGGCACTCATACCACATTTTCTTATTTATATAAACATCAGTACACAAAACACAACATAGAAAACTAAATTCTGAGCAAACGAACCCTACCAAAAACTGGGGGTGATCTCAGGTGCTCCGGAAGGGTAAGCAGATCCTGCTCCACATGCGGTATTCGTCGTGTTGCTCATGTTAGTACAAACCCGGTAATAAGTCTTATTCGATAGGTAACATTCGGGAAAAATGACTTTTTTATACGGAAAGCATAACGGAGAATTATCAGGGCACCAGGTCCACCAAGAAGGTAAAAATCTCGCGCCTGGCGTAATAGATTATAAGCCTAATATATCAGATGAATATCTTTTTCCTCAGAACAAACATAACGATATTACCAAAATATTCTCAGATATATTTCATAATTTAACTGATATCAAAGATACGAAAACAACTCCATTATGCAAGGTGTTTTCCTAATTGTATAGCATATCGTTGTTATGAGTGGGACTATGGAAAAGACAAACTGCAAAGTTCATAAAAGGACAGTATCAACATGAGGGCAGATAAATTAGACATTTAGCTGAATTGCCTCATGAAGAAGCTTCTAATTGACTGAAACAACAATAAGAGTACATAAAAAGAGAAATATGAAACATTACAAATAATTAAATCTCGCATACTCTTCAACTTCATACTTTATTTGGCCTTTTTTGACGTTTTGATTCGACCGTCACTGATCAGTCTTTTGTTGACGAAACGCGCCTGGCGTGCAAAGTTTTAATCCTGGTATCTATATGAGTTTTTAAAATACTATCATTTTTTTTTGCCGTTGATCTTTAATAGTATTTAAATTATATTATCTGTATCTGTATCATTATTGTAGGAAATTGGCTTTACAAAGTTGTTCTCGATTACCTTGTTTTGTCCGTTGAACTATCAAACGTATCTTTATCATATTGTTTTTATCCGATTTTCAGTAAAATGTGCCAGGGGTCATGGACAACAAGGTGGAGGTGACAGAAAAGTTAAAGACAAAGGCCGTAAAAATACAAAGAGGCACGATAACAATGGTAAAGACTATGGCGGGAATGGTGACTATTATCAAGGCAGCGGATATGGGCCATAAACCACATATTTCGATCAAGATTAAGGACAGGACATATGAAAAACATATTTGGAATACCATCATAAGTATGCAAAGATTTAAGTCGATTGGAAATCTATGAATAAAAATCTCTTCTTAACAGTGTTTCTATATTTTCACTAACTGCTGTACTGAAATCTACAGTATTGTATATTTTTATTAATACAGATACTGTAGTCCATTTTATTCACCACATTTGAATTTGAAAAACATGTTTTTGTCACTAGTGGTCGAAACAAAATATTGTATATTGAAAAGGATCAAACAAACAATAAAAGCAAACAAAAAACATGTGAATGTAAATTAAACTGAAATTGCTCCTTTTTTGTTTGGGGGGGGGGGGGGGGGGGGATTTCTTAAGTATAAATACCAAAGAAATATGCTCGTAAGAAAGCATTTGCTGGCGGTCTCGAAAAACCAATAGACTTTCAACCTCGAATTACGTTTTTTTATCAAGAAGAAGTTAAGTCTCGAAAATTCCCCAAAATCCCTGTTGCAAGGGGATTATAAACGTCAAACATTTAGATGCAACAAAAAACTAAGAACATATAAATGTAATTGAAAGCTGTCACAATATCTAAGTAAACAACAATATAATGTTCGGCCATTATATCCAATTAGCGAAAGGCTTTGTGGTTACAGACTTTTATTACCTATTTTCAATAAAGGCTCGGTACACTTACTTATCATTCCTTTGGTTTTTGTTTAGAGGCATTAATTTCTTTACAAAATCATTGTTCATCATTTGTAGATGCGCAGTGAGTCTTCAATTTTTGTACGTTGGTTAAAGGCACTAAATATGTATTGAAAATATGAGCCTTTAAGACAAACTATCTTGAGATGAAGTCGAACTTCCTTTTTTTCTAAATTTATTTCACCTTTCCTCCTTTTGAATGTGATTTATCACCGGATTGTACGTTCGATGATCAAAACGACTTGTGTTTTTAGTTGAGCAAAAGTTTTTTGCCCATATAGAGCATCTAATATCATCCCCGATTTTGGTTAGGTACATTTTTTTCAATTCTTAGTTTCTGTGGGTGTTTTGTGGACTTTTTGTCTGTTCAATTTTTTGTTTTGGCCTTGATGTTGTCTGTGGTTTTTTACTAATGATATTTGATTGCCTCAGTATCTTTTGTTTTTGTTTCATGATAGGTTAATGATGTTTGTCAAAAAATTGTTGAGAGGAGTACCTTGGTATGTAATTGTACATCCTAATTTGAAAATTAGAAGGTTATTTTTCTCATAGTCAAAAAGTTATTATGATTTATCAGCGGTGTTTCGGAATAGCTTTTCTTTATTTCTTTCCTTATAATTACTTGTAGTTGTCCCGCCAAATTTGGATGACTATGACTAAAATCTAAGTTTCATAGACTACTTTAAATATATCATTTTTTGTGTCCATATCTTGAAAACCTGTTTTTATGTTCCAATGGAATTCCATGTCTACAGTTGTTTTGTATAGTTTAGCGATATTCAGCAATATTTGGATCACTAAATGTATGTTTTATAATTCACACCTAGGTGACTACGATTTATGTTTTATTTGGGTTTTTCGTAGAAACCTTTTTTCAAAGAAACACATTCAAAATCAACGACTGACAATTAGCATATGGGATAAAAACCCTTTCAAGAATCCCTATATTGTGGAAAATGTATCATCTCTTCATGACAAATATATTGATGTTCCAGCAGACAAGATTCTAACTATACTGTTTTTATATGCAAAAACCATTATTTTGGATGTCCAACATAAGGACTCGTAATTCACAGCAACACTGGGAATCCCACGTATACCGCTATCTCATTCACGACAGAACAGATTTAAAAAAAAAATCATAAATACATCATTTTCTCCTTTGGTATTTACATAAAAAGAGACCATGAAAATATCCCGTCTTTATACTGGATAAATTAACTTCACAAAAATCCTTATATCAAACGATATAAAGCCAGTTCATCGTCAAACATATTTCTAAAGTTCGTACCACCATTCTGTCTACAGTAAGAGATGGTCTTTATAAATACTTTGAAGAGTTATATTCATCCATAGCTTGGTGTCAATCAGACGAGTATGATTAAAACTTCAATTACATATTTTTTACAATTTGCAGTAATATCAAAACTTTAGATTTTTCTACGCTTTACATTGGTATTCCCCATGTACAATAGAAATATCGAATACGTCGTCTCATTAAACATAGCTATTTCTAAAAAAAATGGAAATCGTAGATAAAAATTTCTTGTTAGAGATCATGAACGATCGTACTTTGTGAAGAACAGCACTGATTCCAAAAAACAAATACAACGAAGATGATATGATGCAAAAAGCTAAACTTTTTTATTCACAGCATATTTTTCGGGTTTTGTGGATTGATATCTCAGCAGACAGAGAATAGTAATTGGGCACTCTACTGGCCTACTTGTTTTTGTACTCAAATGAATCAGGATTCAAACAACACCTTCACAACGACAAAAAGAAAACAAAACATCTTGAAAAGTTCTTTTAATTCTTTTGCAGATGTATTGATGATGTCAGTGAGTGCTTGCATTTCAAATAACCCAGTGAACTTGAGATAAATGATACTATCGAAACCAGATGATCTAGATCTTTTCCTCGATACTGACACAGATGGACACCTTCAAACTAGAATCTTTGCCAACGAGATGATTTCAAATTTCCATCGCAGGGCGTTTACATATCTCATTTGCTATATTACGCTCGTGCATATCAAGGCTTCTCAAACTTCATTAGGAGGGGTATACTCCTTATACGAAAAACTGTTCCTGCTGAGTTACAAGGAAGAACGACTGAAATCGAACAGTCACCAACAATTGATTGATCGATACGACATATCTGTATCTTAGCTCACTAACAACATGCTTTCGCAGTCATAGATCTATATTTACCAGAATGGTCGTCTTATTTATCTTTATCTTGATTTGTCTAAATCGGTTTCTGAGATTTAAACACCGGTAAACTACAGTAGCCTTAATTGACAACAACGGTCTTTCACAATATTTTGTAATTTGTTTTTTTAATTTCTGTGTCAACTTTGTAATTTTAGAACAGTGGTAGTCATGTTGTAAGTTGGCTAGTGTCCCTTACCAAATTTTAGAAAGTATGTAAATAATTTCATAATTTTGCAAAGTCCGATAGCAATGGTTTGATTTTCATAAATTTTAGTTATTTTTATACTATTTTACACCTACGAGGAATTTTCAGCTATTACGGTCATGTGGATTTGATGATGACGTCATCATTTATAAATTTTGAGTATTATCCCTTAGTATTACGCAGTCAAATTTGGTTTAAATGGGCTCGTTAGTTTCAGAGTTTTATTTCTTTTATAAGATTAATGACCGGTGCCAAGGTATTGGTATATCTCACCGTGGCTCTTGGGTCAGGGGATCTAAGAACGACAATTAATATTAGGTGAAAAAATTGGAAATTATTAACATGCCTTTGAAAACTAATAATTTCTCAAGTGTTGATTCAAGAACCAACATTTTAGTACGCTAAAACTGACCATCGGATTACTGATTTTTCGGGTTTTGTGGATTGATATCTCAGCATTACTGATTTAAAGCTCAAAAGCAGTATCAACTATCTAATGGTAGTAATAAAAGTTTACTAGATACCAAATTCCATTTGATTCAATATCATTTCTCGTCAGTGGTTCTTATGATTAAATATTGGAAACACATAAGCATCAAAATAATTAAAAGATGATGAGCAATAAACAAAAGAAACTTAAAGTGGGTTGATTTTAAGAACATAACATCTTTATTTTCTTGTTGTTTCACTGTAAAGAGTACTTCAATGTATCCGACCCTTAATATCATTCTTACTTAATGTAAAAAATAAATTAATGATTATGATGTTGTTTATTATTCTGTATTTATATCTTATGATACTGATCATTTTCAGCATACACATATAATCACACACACATTTATATATACATATATATAATTAAGATCCATGTTACATCTCGTGATCAATTTATTTGGCAATCGTCAATGGCAGTCAGCAGGGTTTAAGAACATTAGTTCGACCTGTAAGTCAAATTCGATTTGTTAAAATATACTTTTCACTTTTTTGGGTCTTTTGGAAAATGTTGTTTGTGCTGTATTTAGACCCCTCTACCAAGAAATTTGTTTTACATGCAGACGTATAAAAATTGCGGTTTTTATCCAACGCAATCATATGTTTAAACGTTGTTTTCAATTTAGACTTGTTCATATATATATATATATGTGTGTGTTACATATGAACACACACACATATTTATATATATATGTTAAAAGTGGAAGGCAAAATAGCTGAAGTCTGCTTGCTTTCCTCATTGTCATCAGATTATCAAAATCATACTAAATCTAAATCTACTGGAATTAATATCAATTGTTTGAGCATGTAATACGGTAATTTTAATTTTTCATATATGATTAAGTGCAGATGGGGGGGGGGGGGGGGGGGGGGGGGGGGGTAAACATTTATAGAACAGCATTCAAAAACCTTATTTCGCTGGTTATTTTTGCTCAGCATAAGAATAACATTTACCAAAATTTGCAACTTTGATATTTAGGTACATAATACAAAATATATTATTTTACAGATGAACTTGATTATTTTTCTTTTCCTATTGTTAATTTTCCCTTTTTGGACGGTGATGTTCCTTTGGCACCGTCTTACGGTGTTTATGTATCCCAACTCGTTCGCTATGCTCGTGTTTGTAGTGACGTTTTGGATTTTAATGAGCGTAATCTATGTATTATTAGTAAATTATTAAGCCAGGGATTTCGTTACCACAAATTACTCAAAACCTTTACTAAATTCTTTCATAGGTACAAAGATTTGGTCTGCAAATTTGGCTGTACCTGTAAAAAACTTATTTCAAACGGAATAGTACATCCTAAATTTTACGGTGATGTTGTAAACCGAGCCCTGAAATTTAGATAGGATCCAGGTAAACTTATCAATCATCTAAATAACTTATTCTAAAAGGTTACCTATTTAACACTGTAATTAAATCTTTGAATATTGTTTTTATTGGTGTAAATATTGAT